AAAAAGACCGTACCCTTTTATGTAATGATGTTTACTTTGAATTTATATTAGTTCACACAAACACTCCATCCATGCTTTTGTTCCGGCCCTCCGGTCCAGTTTAAGAACCCATTGTGGCCCTCGAGTCAAAAAGTTTGCCCACCCCTGCTCTAGAGCAATCCCGGGTCTGGCAGGGGCCCTTCACAGGATGAGGGCCCCTACGCACCCAGCTCTGGGAGAAGCAGGCTGGTTTACTCGTTCAGGGACCTTTCCGGACACTTGCTGGGGGCCCAGGATCCATTGAGGGCCCCTGCTCACCCAGAGCTCACAATCCAGGGGGCTTGTGACTCAGGACTTAACCTCTGGGGGCCAAATACTGGGTCCTCCAGGGTGAGGAAATGAGAGGTGAAAGCCATGTCCCCAGGTCTGACGGTACTTTATTGTCAGAGAAACAGAGATGGGCTTGGTGGGGGAGTGGGGGTGGGGTGAGGGCAGACAAGGGCATTGCACACAGATGGGGAATAGGGGGAAGAGACAGAGGGTCCCAGCTGGAGGCAGTGGGCTTCCAGGAACACACTCGTGGGCAGCGGCTGTGGTCTCAAGTCCTCTCCGCTGCCTCCAGCTGCTGTGCAGGCTCAGCGAGACATCATTCGCACAAACTCTGCCAGGACAAAGCGGAGGTTTCGGGTCTGCTCTGGGGACCCCACTAGGGGCGGGGCCCATATAGGAACCTTGAGGTGTGAGGGAGTGTGGTCAAGTGAGTCTCCTGCATCTGATGGGTAACAGGTCTGTCTCTAGGCCAAGGAGAGGGGCTTTGTCTTGTGGACAGAAAACATCTTGTAACTCAACTGTTTTCTCTCTGCTTTGGCTGCTAGGAAGCTCAGGAGCAACTCTGGGGCTGCATCCTGATTTTCCGCGGCTTCGGTGGTGCCCTGACCCTGGTGCTCCCTCTGTGTCGAGGAGGAGCGGGGTCTGGATGGGGCTGCCTGGATTCGGATCACGCTTCATCTACTTCCTGTCGCTGAGTAACTGACACTTTCCTAAGAACTGACAACTCGGGGATTCGCTTCTGGCTTCTCCCGTTCAGGGGAAGATAAAGCTCCTCCCTGCTGGGTCCTCCTGGGAGAGGATTGGGGCGCTTCGCTCAGGGCCTGGCCCACAGCAAACGCTCTGCCTCTATTGTTCTTTCTCTGCTAGAAACCTCCCAGGGTGTGTGGTGGCAGGCGGTACCTTCAAAGTCGATCAGGCCGTCCCCGTTGAGGTCAATGTCCTGAAGGATCTCGTCCACCTCCCGCTGGGTGAGGCGCTCCCCCAGCAGGACCTTGAGGGCCGCCCGGAGCTCACCCAAGCTGATGCAGCCATCCCTATTGGTGTCAAACTGTGGCAGCGAGGAATCATTCAGTCACCCAGCCCCTCCCGGACCACACACAGCCGGCCCCGCCCGCCCTCAGCCCAGGGCCACACCTCTCGGAAGGCATCCCGCAGCTCCCGGACACCAATCATGTCTGCCGTCTCCGCCAGCATCTTGGGGCCCATTAGCTCCACAAAGTCTTCAAAGTCCACCTTCCCGCCACCTGGGGGCCGTGCTCATCAGAGATCCCGGCCTGGCCCTGGCCCTCCTCTGCCCCTGCCCTCCCCTTCTGGCCTGGGCCCGGTAACTGTGCCCTTCTCTCTCCGGGCCCCACAGGCGGGGCCATCTGTGGCTTTGATGACTTTCCTTAATTTTCCTGAAGAGTTTGGTTGGGTTCAAGCCCTGGCTCCAATGACCTGGCTGTATGACCTTTGGCAAGTCACTTAACCTTTCAGAGACTCAATGTCCTCATCTAACAAATGGGAATAGAGGGATGGAGGCAGAGTCCTTGCCTTGAGAATGGCCGAGGTCTGGGTTCTGGGGCCAACCAGCAGGCATCTCTGTGCCTGGGCTGCCCGGCTGCCCTGGCCTGGCCTCGGGAGAAGTGGGGATGGGTGGGTCTGAGGCACTTACTGATCTGCTGTGAAATCTCGATGAGCTCCATCTCAGTGGGCATGTAGCCCATCGTCCGCATGCAGGCGCCCAGGTCCCCGTAGCCGATGTAGCCGTCCCGGTCTCGGTCAAACTCCTGGAAGGCGGCCTGCAGCTCTGCCAAGCAAGGCAGGGTCAGTCCTTCTCCAATGTCCCCCTGGGTCCCAGCTCGGATCAACTCACCCTTCTCTCCTTGGTCTAATCATTCCCTCCGTCTAAACATCAGTCTCTGCTGCCTCAGGGCCTTGGCACATGCTATTCCTATAATTCATTCTTTCAGCAAATACTTAAAGAGCATCTGCTACGTGCCAAGCTCTGCTCTAGGTAGTGGGAGTATGACAATGAAGACAGAAAAGGAAGAAAAGGAAGGGAGGAAGGAAGGGAGGGAGGGAGGGAGGGAGGAAGGAAGGAGGGGAGGGAGGGCGGAAGGAAGGGAGGAGGGAGGGAGGAAGGAAGGAGGGGAGGGAGGGCGGAAGGAAGGGAGGAGGGAGGGAGGAAGGAAGGAGGGGAGGGAGGGCGGAAGGAAGGGAGGAGGGAGGGAGGAAAGAAGGAAGGAAGGGAGGGAGGAAGGGAGGGAGTAGCTCACATTCTGGAACACTCTCCCCTCCTCTTGGTCCTCCTGTCATGTACTCAAGGAAGTCTTCCCTCTAAAGTCAGAGCCTGCAGCCCATTTGCACTCGTAGTTGAGAGCACTGAGCGCCGTCTGCACTTGCTGACGTGCTGACGTCTGTCTCCAGAGGACACAGGCCGGGCTGTCTGGTTGGCCATGTCCCCAGTGCTCAGCACAGGGCCAGGTGGTGCCTAGGAAGTGCTCGCTGAGCAGAGGAAAAAGGGGCCCAAGACCCACCTGGCCAGTGAGACCAGGCAGCTGGCAGCTGGGGGTTTTGTCGGCCCATCCCTGCTCAGTCTGTCCCGTCTCCTCGTCTCCTCGCACAGGGCCCCTGCAGGCTCCTTCTGGCTCCTAGTTCCTCCTGGAGACTGCTGGGAGCCCCCCCACCCCCACCCCGTGTGCACCCCGCAAGTCCACCCCTCCAGAAACTCTAGTTCTTTCCAAACCCTTTACCTTCAATCTCCTCGTGCTCGCTGAGCAAATACAAAAGGGGCCCAAGACCCACCTGGCCAGTGAGACCAGGCAGCTGGCAGCTGGGGGTTTTGTCGGCCCATCCCTGCTCAGTCTGTCCCGTCTCCTCGTCTCCTCGCACAGGGCCCCTGCAGGCTCCTTCTGGCTCCTAGTTCCTCCTGGAGACTGCTGGGAGCGCCCCCCCGACCCCGTGTGCACCCCCCACATCCACCCCTCCAGAAACTCTAGTTCTTTCCAAATCCTTTACCTTCAATCTCCTCCGGCCGCAGCTCCCGGTCCTGAGGGGCACAGAGGGGTTAGGGAGTCTCTGGACCCCTTGTTTCTTGTTCTTTGGGGCTCTCCAATCAGCCCCCACACACCCCTGCACAGGGCCTGTGTCGGACCCTGCTCAGGCCTCGTTCCTCCCCATTCCT